GCATGAGTGACTGCTGCCAGGCTCCGCTCATCCAGGTAAGGGCGAAGTTGATATATTCTCCGCAGCTGTAAGAAGGCACCCCTGGACACCGAGTCCACCTGGGCTTCCAAGGTCAGACTGGGGTCAAGGAGCACCCCCAAGCTGCGGACCCTATCCTTTAGGGGGAGTGTGATCCCGTCTAAGGTAGGGAGATGGCCCTTTAACCTATCTGGCGGGGCACCTACCAGCAGCACTTCAGACTTGTCTGGATTGAGCCTCAGTTTATTGACCCTCATCCAGACCATTATCGAGTCCAGGCACGAGTTCAGAACGGTGACTGCCACACCTGGATTGGTAGAAAATGAGAGGTAGAGCTGGGTGTCGTCAGCATATTGCTGACTCCTCAGCCCAAACCTCCTAACGACCTCCCCCAGCGGTTTCATGTAGATATTGAACAGCATGGGGGACAGTATAGAGCCCTGAGGAACCCCATGACGCAACCGCCATGGGTCAGAGCTACTGTCCCCCAGCACCACCTTCTGGACTCGATCAGCCAGGTAGGAACGGAACCACTGTAAAACAGTGCCTCCAATTCCCATCCCAGCCAGTCTGTCCAGAAGGACACCGTGGTCGATGGTGTCGAAAGCCGCTGAGAGGTCCAGGAGAATCAACAGGGATGCATTACCCCTGTCTTTCTCCCAGCAAAGGTCATCATACAGGGCGACCAAGGCAGTTTCCGTCCCATAACCCGGCCTGAAACCCGATTGAAATGGATCTAGATAATCCGTTTCATCCAGGAGAGCCTGGAGCTGCTCAGCCACCACACATTCCAACACCTTGCCGAGAAAAGGGAGGTTTGCTATTGGACGATAGTTGTGCACTAGACCTGGATCCAGATTAGGTTTTTTTAGGAGTGGGCGAATCACTGCCTCCTTTAATGGGGCAGGAACCACTCCCTCTCTTAACGAGGAGTTGATGACCTCCAGGATCCAGGTGCAAACTCCCCTGGCAGATTTCTTTATTAGCCAAGTTAAAGAAAATAATTCATTTGAACCTTATACCTAGAATCATCATATACATTGTGTATGTGTTTATATTCCAGTGAATTATTTGTCACCATATAGCTAATCACTTTCGTGATAACATACATGCTTAAAGAATGAGAACCTAAAACAGAGCAATGTACATATTCATTTTTTAGCTAAATGCATCCTACATCAAAAACACTCTAGGAAAAGCAAGAAATCTATTATCATCTCACTTTCATACAAGCTAAGGCTCAAGAAATCTTACACAGAAACTTGTGAGAGAATAATAATTTGAGAAAGAACAATATTTATTAACAAAAATTGAGAATAAATAATGAGGGTAGGGAATTTCTGCAGTAGGACAAAAGTGCAAACATAGAACTTTTTAAGTTCTAGCTTTCCTCAAGACCATTTAAACCAGGGGTGTCCAACCTTTCACCTTCCCTGGGCCACATTAGAAGAGGAAAATTTGGTTTGGGCCGCACATACATTTATTGTATGTTATTGTTGTTTAGTCATTTAGTTGTGTCCGACTCTTCATGACCCCATGGACCAGACCACGCCAGGCCCTCCTGTCTTCCACTGCCTCCTGAAGTTGGGTCAAATTCATGTTGGTGCCTTCAATGACACTGCCCAACCATCTTGTCCTCTGTTGTCCCGTTCTCCTCTTGCCTTCGCACTTTCCTAACATCAGGGACTTTTCCAGGGAGTCTTTTCTTCTCATGAGATCGCCAAAGTATTGGAGCCTCAGCTTTAGGATCTGTCCTTCCAGTGAGCACTCAGGGTTGATTTCCTTTAGAATGGATAGGTTTGTTCTCCTTGCAGTCCAGGGGACTCTCAAGAGCCTGCTCCAGCACCATAGTTCAAAAGCATCAATTCTTGGGCGGTCAGCTTTCTTTATGGTCCTGCTCTCACTTCCATACATCACTACAGGAAAAACCATAGCTTTGACTATTTAGACTTTTGTTGGCAAGTTGGTGTCTCAAGTTCATGCTATCACTACTTAAAGTAACAAAGTTGAGGTTGTGAAACTACAGGCTCATCAGAGTTATTATAGCTTTATAAAAGACAATACAAAAGCCAGGGGAAAATGCAGCAATGATTACACCAAATTCTTCAACACATTATAGTCCCAAATTAAAAGGTACATAGGTTTATAAAAAGGCAAGCTTTTAGAAGTATGTAATATTTGCATAGTGGAAGGCGGGCAGCTCTAGTTAGCTAGGATGGCTGAGAGGTATCTGAGCTGATACAAAGGAAGCCCTCCTAGTCTAAGGTTGTTGGAAATTACTTAGGACTACTCTGAACCTTGCTTTCAGTTGCTTTATGTTTCTATAGAGCAACTCATTTGTGCATTCCAAATGAAAGAGGAGACCTTTGTGACAGCATAGTGGCTGTGAGTCTAGACTCAGAGGGGTTTGGATCTGGTGTAACTTGTTCTTCACCTTCTCCCCCTCTATTCCACTGGTTGCTCTCAGCCAGCATAACATTTGTGTTGGCAGATCTGAGATCAGGTATTGAAGATTTCTGCCCATTCCAAACTCACTGCAGCTGCTGGGTTGTTGTTTTTTTTTTAGTTCTGGTTGACAACCTGCTTCTTATTTTATATGCATACACAAGAGATTAGTAAAGTGTACACACAGTACTAGGCTTGTAAATGCTTAAGAGTAAATAACATTTCATATAAATATCCAGTAATACGTTACTGAAATTTGTTTTAAATATAAAATTTACAAAATGCAACAATTAATGACAAAGCATAGTTTATAATCCCATTAAAACAAATATTATCTGAACTGTTGAAGATCATGGGGAAATTCTTTCTTTTTTTCCTTTTGAGAGAAATGTTTTGATCTCCCTTTCTCATATTTCTACAAGCTTAGAAATTCTGGAACAGAACTGCACAGAAAATACTTTTGGCTTCTGCTTTAAACATACTTCACATATTTGGGCACATATTCAGCTATTCTTTCAACAGCTGAAATAGTTACACACAACTATGTCAGTTCAGTCTTAGGCACTCCTATTCAGAAGTTAGTTTCAGAAATTTCATTACAGCTTATTCCCAGTTAAGTATGCACAGCAATGCAATCCTTAGTTTGATGCGCTTGCGCAGTCTTGGCAGAGTGACTGCTGCTCTCTGCATCCTTGAATTATTTTCAAATATGAGAGAAGTAGTGCTAAGTAATACCACCATATAAATTGGGGCAGGGGATCTATGGATTTTTCTGTGTTTCAGAGTTCAACCCCAAGAAGCACCAAGCAACATGTTTTTGGAGTTCAGTTCCCAAACATACCAGCTAAGTTTCACAAAACCCCTGATATAAATTGTGACCAACATAAAATTTGCAAGCCATATCTGTGTCTCCTTAGCTTTCACTACTGCTTCTCCTTGTCACTTTTACTTGTCTCTAGCTCCATGAAGATTGCTAAAAATTTGCCTGTTCTTTAGACTATAAATAAGCAACTGCAGCCATGTGCTGTAATGTAGGCACTGATCCTGACATGCCTCATAGACACACTCCCAAAGAGACACCAAAAATTACAGCAGCTGAGCTGAGCCATATCAATAAATCAGTCTGAGCAGTTTTATTTCCTCCAGGTGCAATTATTTTTTTAGGGCTAGCTGATCTTAGATGCCTGGTTAAAACAAAGAGGCATCAAAGTATCTTGCATTATAACAAAGATGGCTTAATAATATGTAATTGTTGGCAGATTTTTTTGCTAAGGCTGTGTGAACCCTGGATGTTAGATCTCTATTCTGACTTGATTCATAGAGTGATATTTCAGTGTGTGATGTAGAATCTTTATTACCAGTTTGTTGGAGAAGATGGTTTGATTGGGGTAAAAGACAACAGTTTAGGCCTAACTAAATTAAAAGGCTTATTGGAGTATAGTTTAAGAAAATGAAACAGCTATATAATTAACTTGTAGTTCCAGCAGTGGATAGCAGAAAACAGAGGAAACTAGAAAACATTCTAGGGTGTTCTAGAGTGTTCCAAGACAATTATGTAAAGATTTGAAATCTTTATATGTATGAGGTATATATGAAATAGTACGATTTCCTTAGATGATATTAAATACCACTCTGATCAGTGTAGGGAACAATAAGAACTTCGGTTCTTATATACCTTAAATCTTCACATAATTGCTTTGGCACTTTCTGGAATCCTTTCTAACTTCCTCTTTTTTTCTTCATCTAGGGTTGAAACCACAAGTTGCTTAATTATCTAAGTATCTGCTTTATTTTCGGCCTTTCATTTTTGTAGGAACAAATTAGTAATTCTGCCAATCCAGTTCTCTTTTTTGGGGGGGGGGAGAAATCTATCATGTAACCATCGCGAAACTAAATTATTTCCTTTTACATAACCAAACGCCAGTGATAGCACTTTGGGGGAGGGGTCGATGGGTGGGACTGCCTTACGCAAGTGAAGCAAGCAATTTTAAGGAAGTTGCACGTTCCGGGTGTTCGTTGGTTACTTTTCGCAACAAATCCTACCTAACGCTTGGCAGCAATTGAGGACATGAGACTACGGCCGGAATTGAAATGTTCCAGTTTACAGAAGAAAGCATGGTTTATTAATTCAAAGGCAAGGCACCGCCTTGGACTACTTTGAGACGAGCTGTGCCCTCCACACTCCTGGCCCCTTCTAACCTGGGGCAATTTCTGCAGAGGTTACTATGTCGTATCCTCTATGTACTTCCAAAATTACTTTTAATAGTTAGTGACCCGATGAAGCAGGGTAATGGCAATAGTGAAAGATCGCCATAAGGCTCCTTTGGTTTCCTAGAACTCTGCACCTCGGGCCCGAGAAGGAACGAGGACAGTTCTCACAACCAGCTCCTCTCCCGCCTGACTGGAATTTAAACTGCGTGACTAAGAGCCGGAGCTCGTTCAAAGCACCGCCCCCTCCTAGGAAACCGCGCGCGAATCCCCTCAGTCCTCCAGCCAATCCCAGGACGACTTTGACATCCCATCGGCCAATGGGGGTGCGCTTTATTGGCGGGCGAGAGCGCCGCGTCTTGTGCGCGCTGGGCAGCAGTTGGGAGCGTTGAGCGCTGGGCAGGTTGTTCCTCTCTCTCTCTCTCTCCTTTCCTACACCCCCGCCCCTCCTCTTCCTTTTGCCCTCCTCCCTTCACTCTTTTGTTGGCGGTTCCCTTTCTCGCTGTCTCCTGGGAGGGCGGCGACAAGAGCCCGAGCCTGGCGATGCCCGAGTTCCTGGCGGATCCGTCCGTGCTCACCAAGGAGAAGCTGAAGAGCGAGTTGATCGCCAACAATGTGAGCCTGCCGGGCGGCGAGCAGCGCAAGGATGTGTATGTGCAGCTCTACCTTCAGCACCTCACCGCCCGCAACGCGCCCGGCGTCCCCTCTCAGCTCGACTTCTCCAGCGACGAGGAGCGGGAACCTACCCCGGTCGCCGCGAAGAACCGAGGCGCTGGCGGCGGCGTTGCCGGTTCAGTCGGCTTGGGCCGGGTAAGCCTTTCCGCGTCCCTTCCGGCCCCCATTCGGGGGGCGCGTTAGAGCAGGGTCCATCTCTTGTGCGCGGCCTTCAAGCGCTTGAGGGGGCGGCGGAGTTTTCCCGCTTTCTCTCAGGGGGCGGCGCCATGTTCTGTCACTCTGGGGGGGGGAGGAGGAGGAGAAGGAGGAGGGAGCGCGGGAGGGGAGACAGCATGAGAGACGGTGCCTGCTACTGGGTAGGACCCGGGTAAGGCGCTTTGGCGGCTGGCGAGAAGCCCCGGAGCAGGGCGAGGGCGCCAGAAGGCTCTGGGTGGGCTCCGAAGGGTGTTCCGTCCGGGCTACAGCATTGCACGGCCGAAGGTCCTCTGAGTAGCCGCCTCCGCTTCCCTGGTTGTCTCTGGCATCTCGCTTTAAGGCATCGCGGGTCGTTCTTCTATTTAAAAGGACCGTTAACTTCTCCCGTCGGGTGGAAGTTTGAACTTTGCGGGCGCCTTGCCAGGAACAGGAGGTTTTAATTTCTGCATAACTTCAGGCTCTTGGCTGTAGGCTCGTTGCATTCTCCGAATGAAAAGATCCACTCCATGTCATTTGGAGCACTTTTACCTGAAACCGTAGTTACTCTTGAACACTTGCCCATTAGGCTTGGAAGGGAAAAAGGTTTGAGCTGTGGAACGAAGCTCCTTCACAGATGTTGAACTGGCTTCTGGCGTTTTTTAAAAAAAGAAGGGGTCTTTAAAGGTTGATTGATTATTCAAAGCCATTCAAAACATTCAGATGTTTAAATGGAACATGAACTTAACTTTCGCTTAGTAATCTCCTTTTTTTGTTTCTGTATCTACATATTACTGTGGTTTTTTCAGAACTGCTGAAGGAATGCTCCAACTCATTCTTTCTTCAAAAAAAAACACAATGTCTTTTATTACACTGGATTAGTCTTCTCAAAGGAGAAATTCTGTAATGTTACCAAAAAATACTTTGTTGCAATAATTTTCTGTTAGAGAATATTAGTCAAATATTTTCTCACATTATTTAAAAGTTGTGGAATAGTGATATAAATAGAAGTCAATTTTCAAAAGGTGGTTAATGATAAGTACACAGGTCTCTCTCCTACATGTTACCAAAAATACTTTGTTGCAATAATTTTCTGTTAGAGAACATTAGTCAAACACTTTCTCACATTTAAAAGTTGCGGAATAGTGATATAAATAGAAGTCAATTTTCAAAAGGTAGTTAATGATAAGTACACAGGCAAATAAAGCAATAATAGTTGACTATTTGAAAACTATTGATATTTATAGACCTAATTAAACCAGTGCGGATAAAAATCAATTATGTTTTAAAAACAATCTGATTTAAATCAAAACATGATTTTTTTCTTTAAATCATCAAAAAAATTCTTAATTTTAAAAGCCTAAATTAAATCTACCCCACATTAAACTTTTGAATCTGGTAGTGAAGAGTTATGCTATAGATGCTAATTACTGGCCTACCTACTGATGACTATAAATATATAACTACTAATATCTGAAAAAGTAGATTGTTCCTCATGAAAACTCACACTGAAATAAATACTCATTTTAAAGTGCCACAATATTTTGTCCATCCCCCTTCTCCCCCCCCCTTTAATTTTGCCCATCTACAGGAAGCTGTTAGAACTTACGGATGTTCATAACGTTATGAACGGTTATAATGCAAAGTAAACTGAAAGCTGTTTGAAATTTCTAAAAGTCATAAATCCAAATGTAGTCCTTTGGAAAGGCTAGATTATAAGTTATTTCCTGTAGATTTATTCCATGCAGTTTCAGCTACAGAAGTACCCCAGGCCCCATGTTGCAGCTAAGATCATGCCTCCAGAAAAGAGGTACTGTACTGAGTATTAAGGTACTAGGTGTTTTTGTTTTGAATTACATTGATTTAAGTCATTACAGTGGTGCCTCGATTTATGAACTTAATCCATTCCAGAAGATGGTTGTAAGTCGAAACACCATTTCCCATAGGAATGCATTGAAATGCAATTAATCTGTTCTGGCCAGAGGGGGGGAAAATCACAAAAAAACCCCACACCCACTGCAAGACCCATCGGAAACGCGATTAATCCAAAGGGGGGGGGCAGAAAAGCAAACAAACTGTGCAAGACCCTTCGGAAATGCAAAAAAAGAAGAAGAAGAAGCAAACAAACCCTGCAAGACCCATCGGAAATGGGGAAAAAACACCCCAACAAACAAAAGAAAGCAAGCAAACTGCCCAAGACCCATCGGAAATGCAAAAAAAGCAAAGCAGAAAGCAAGCAAACTGCCCAAGACCCATCGGAAATGCAAAAAAAGCAAAGCAGAAAGCAAGCAAACTGCCCAAGACCCATCGGAAATGCAAAAAAAGCAAAGCAGAAAGCAAGCAAACTGCCCAAGACCCATCGGAAATGCAAAAAAAGCAAAGCAGAAAGCAAGCAAAAAACCCAAAAAGCAACAACAACAAAAAAAAGACCCATCAGAAATGGGGGAAAACCCCAAAAAGCAAGCAACCCCACCAGGAACCATTGGAAATGGGGGGAAAACGAACAAATCCCCAAGACCCATCACAGCATAGAGATGTAACCCCACCACCCTGCCCAAAACCAGGCTGCAAAATCCACCCAGAACAGTTTTTAAAAAGCAGAAAGCAGCACCTTACGCGGCAGTCCCAAGCCTCCTCCGATCACACTCACTCTAACCGTTTGGACAAAAGTGCTACAAAGAAGCAGCCTCTTTGCCTACCAATGGTTAGCAATTTGAATTCCCCGCCTTTTTTCCCTGCCTTTTTTTTAGTTGTAACTTGAAGCTCTGTCCATAAGTCTAAGCAACATTTTGCAGCTGGAACTGGACATAACTTGAAAGGGTCATATGTTGGGACGTTTGTAAGTCAAAGCACCACTGTACTTGGAAAGTGGCTTTAATATGTTTCATCCCAGTGCACACTTGCTGGCCATATTTTTCACAATCATCTTCCTGAAATTCACTTTCTCTAGTAATTCTCTATTCATTGACACCGGCTGTAGTAGTAACTTGCAACTAGAGTAGACTCATCCAATTATGGTGAGTCAACATTTATGTAAGATCCACTGATTCAGTGGGCATACAGTGGGGTCTTGACTTGAGAACTTAATCCGTATTGGAAGGCGGTTCTCAAGTCAAAAAGTCTGTAAGTCAAGTCTCCATTGACCTACAGTGCATTGAAAACCGATTAATCCCGTAACAGGCCGTTTTTGTTCCATTTTGGTTTTTTTCTGGTCTGTAAGTCAAATCTCAGTCTGCAAGTCAAACCTAAATTTTGCGGCCAGAGAAGTCTGTAGCTCAAAAAGTCTGTAAGTCAAGCTGTCTGTAAGTCAAGGGTCCACTGTACTTTAGTTGTGATTTACTGCTGTGTTTCACCCATTGGATCAAAACATATAGAGAGGCAAAGGCTTGATTTTTGACTTGCCTAGATAGACACTGATGGCAGAAAGTGAGGAATTAAAGAACCTCTTAATGAGGGTGAAAGAGGAGAGCACAAAAAATTGGTCTGAAGCTCAGCATCAAAAAAACTAAGACTATGGCCACTGATCCCATCACCTCCTGGCAAATAGAAGGGGAAGATATGGAGGCAGTGACAGATTTTACTTTCTTGGGCTCCATGATCACTGCAGAACCACATGTGAAGAGAAGCTTCGCTGGAAAAGACCCTGATGTTGGGAAAGAGTGAAGGCAAGAGGAGAAGGAGGTGACAGAGGACAAGATGGTTGGACAGTGTCACCGAAGCGACGAACATGAATTTGACTCAACTCTGGGAGACAGTGGAAGACAGGAGGGCCTGACGTGCTCTGGTCCATGGGGTCATGAAGAGTCCGACACAACTTAACGACTGACTAAACAAGAACCCCTCCCTCTCTTTCTCTCTTTCTCTTACATATCTCTAGAGGTGCAAAACCAGTTGTTAGTACTGCAGGTAAACCTAAGTAAACTATATACTGTACCTGCTTATGGAACCCCTCATGAATTTGAGACAAAAATCAATAATTGTTTTTAAATTAAAACTAATCATGTAGAGCTTTTAAACTTGAAACATTTTATTAATACAATGTAAAGGCTGGTTAAAAAATCTTTTACTTTTTTTGAAAAAAATATCTGTTGTGCTTTAGGAGTAATATGGGTTTGCTACAGTTAAATGACCAAACCTATTTATCCAGGCGCAAGTTAATAGGTTCGTCGTCGTTTAGTCGTGTCCGACTCTCCGTGACCCCATGGATCAGAGCACGGCAGGCCCTCCTATCTTCCACTGCCTCCCGGAGTTGTGTCAAATTCATTCTGGTAGCTTCGATGACATTGTCCAACCATCTTATCCTCTGTCGTTCCCTTCTCCTCTCTCTTTCTAATAGGTTAGGAAGGGCTTTAGGAAGGAAATACTAGATATAGACCACTAACCACTTGCAATGCTAGTGAGTATTTGTGTTTGCTGTAAATATACATTTAAAGCTGTTGTGCAGATAGTTTGGGATGTCCAACCAGGAAAATTTAATTGCCCTAAATCAATGCAGATCCAATCTGAATGTCTGTTTATATTTAGTAAACAGAGCTTTTGAAAAAATGTTAGGTACTACATAAAAATATTTCGAGTAGTCAAAAGTACAGTGGTGCCTCGACTTGCGACCATAATCCATTCCAGAAGATGGGCGTAACTCGAAATGGCCGTACATCAAAGCACCTTTTCCCATAGGAATGCATTGGAACGGGATCGTTCCAGAATTTTAAAAAAACAATAAAAATAAAACCCTGCAAGCCCCATCGGAACACGTCTAGGCTGGAAATTTTTTTTCACCAACACCAAAAAACAAAAACCACACAGCCAGCCCCATGGGAACAGGATGGGGCTGGGAAAAAAACACATAAACACACACACACAGAGCCAGCCCCATTGGAATACGGTGGGGCTGGAGAAAATAAACACAAAAACAACCCCTCCACGCACACACAGCCAGCCCCATCGGAATGTGATGGGGCTGAGGA